GTCTGCCAGCACACTGGCGGGTGTGGAGGGAGGGAGGGCAGACGATCCCCCTTGTCCCTAGATGGTGCACACGCCAGGAAGGGCGGTTGGGATGCGGCACAGGTGTGAGGGTGCAGATGCTCCCCATTACCCTTTCCACCCCTCCCCCGCGCCCTCCGCTGCTTCCCTCACCCGGGCACGGCTGTCGCAGCAACTGGACAACAGTGACATTAGTGAGGACGATGTCTCGCTTCGACATGGTCTCTTATAAGGTTATCATTGGCCTGGCTGCCCCGGGACCTGCCGCGATGTTACTGAGGTGCGTGCGGAGCGCCAGGGCTGGTGGGTCCGGGGCTTCTTGCCGTGATGTCACAGTGCCCAGTGATGTCACAGTACCCAGTGACGTCACAGTATCCAGTGACGCCACCCAGGAGGCGGTGCCCAAGCCAGAGGCCTGAGACCACCGCATCTCATCTCCATAGAGGCATGGGATGTCAGCATGCTATGCACCACCGTTCCATGGCCACGCTCTGCCCTCTGGAGTGGAATCCCACTTTTTCAAATTATCATTTGTTTATTTATTTTGAGACAGGGTGTCACTCTGTCTCCTAGGCGGAGTGTAGTGGTGCAATCATGGCTCACTGCAGCCTTGAACTCCTGGGCTCAAGCGATCCTCCCGCCTCGGCCTCCTGAGTAGCTGGGACTACATGTACAGCCTTCACGGCAGGCTATTTTTATTTTTTAGTTTTTTGTAGAGAGAGAGTCTCACTCTTTTGCTCAGGCTGGTCTAGAACTCTTGGGCTCAAGCGATCCTCCCACCTCAGCCTTCCAAAATGCTAGGATTGCAGGAGTGAGCCACCACACCCAGCCTGGAATTCCACCTTTTACACCGTTCCTGAAAGCATTTTCCTCCTCTCTGTCTCCTGAAGTACACAGGCTCCATACTGTTCCTTGGCTTCTCCCCCGGGGTGACTCTAGCTGCCTCCATATGCCTGGAAAACCCACCCAGGGCTTCCCTTGGCTGCCTCTTGGTTTCCCACCCTTTAAGAGAGGCTTTCTAGGGCTGGGCGCGGTGACTCAAGCCTGTAATCCCAGCACTTTGGGAGGCCGAGACGGGCAGATCACGAGGTCAGGAGATCGAGACCATCCTGGCGAACACGGTGAAACCCCGTCTCTACTAAAAAATACAAAAAACTAGCCGGGCGAGGCGGCGGGCGCCTGTAGTCCCAGCTACTCGGGAGGCTGAGGCAGGAGAATGGAGTAAACCCGGGGGGCGGAGCTTGCAGTGAGCTGAGATCCGGCCACTGCACTCCAGCCTGGGCGACAGAGCCAGACTCTGTCTCAAAAAAAAAAAAAAAAAAAAAAAAGAGAGGCTTTCTAGACTCCCCATCTAAGTTCCCTCCTTTCTCTGTCACTGTCAGCCGTCACCCCCTTCCCCCCAATCTCTGCCCATCTTCCAGGAAGCCTTGTCTGACTTCTCCATTCTGGGTTATGTTCCAATGTGCAAAATTTCTCTAGGGCTACACTGTCTATGTTTTTATTTTCCTTAGAACACATGTCTCTCTAAAAATTGTTTTCTTGCCAACTGTCTTTGCCCACTAGACTGTAAGCTCTGAGAGACCAGGGACGTCATCTCTGTCACTTCTATATCCCATTGACAAGAAAAGTGTTTGGCACTTAAAAGGTGTTTGTGAGCTGGGCACAGTGGCTCATGCCTGTAATCTCAACACTTTGGGAGGCCGAGGTGGGAGGATCACTTGAGCCCATGAGTTTGAGACCAACATGGGCAACGTGGCAAAACCCTGTATCTATAAAAAATAAAAAAATTAGCCAGGTGTGTTGGTGCACACCTGTCGCCCCAGTTATTAGGGAGACTGAGGTGGGAGGATCACTTGAGCCTGGGTGGTCAAGGCTGCAGTGAGCTGTGATTGTGTCACTGTCTGAAAATTGGAAAAAGGCATTAGCCCAATAAACCATGCCTGAATGAATAAACGTCAATTCCTGAGGTTTCATCTGATCGCTAATCTTTTCTTTTCTTTTCTTTTTTTGAGACAGAGTTTCTCTCTTGTTGCCTGGGCTGAAGTGCAATGATGTGATATTGGCTCAGCACAACCTCTGCCTCCTGGATCCAAGTGATTCTCCCGCCTCAGCCTCCTCAGTAGCTGGGACTACAGGCATGCGCCACTACACCTGGCTAATTTTTTTTTTTTTTTTTTTTTTTTTTTTTTTTTGTATTTTTAGTAGAGATGGGGTTTCACCATGTTGGCCAGGCTGATCTCAAACTCCTGACCTCAGGCGATCCATCTGCCTGGGCCTCCCAAAGTGCTGGGATTACAGGCGTGAGCCACCTTGCCCGGCCCTGATTGCCAATCTTATCACACTCTTCACGTCACATCTTCTCGCAGCACCCATTCCTTTCCTTGTAGCTTTTCATGTAGTTTGTCATGATCTGTTGATTGGTTTATTTGTTCGATGTCTCCCCCTTGGGCTCTAAACCCCTCACAGGGCTCATGTTCTTGTTTGTTTGTTCACAACTGTGCCTCCAGCACTTAGAACAACACAAAGCAGGTTTTCAATAAACATCTGACAAACAACAAGTGGACAAACAGCTCCCTCCCCTGCAGCCCCGGGGTAGGGGTTTGCTTGCACCTCAGTGACTCACAGGCAGGCACCCTCACCTGCACAGCAGGTTGACACGCAGCTGTGACCAAGATTCAGGGGGAGTCGGGGTGGAAGGAGTCACCATCCCAGCGAGGGATGGATGCAAGAAGGGGCAGAATGAGATAACCTCTTCCTTCCGCCAACATCCATGGGAAATTCATTTGCCAAGCACCTGCCATGGGACTGGGGCAGGGGGAGGTTCTCCTTCTTTGATAGCCTGGGAGAAGAAAGTAAACTGGGTGTACAGGTGAGGAGGTTTTAATGAACCGAGACCAAAACACAGATGATTGATTAAACAAAGGGGGCTACATTTTGGTGTACAATCAAGGAGGTGAAAAATATAACATCGACAAAACCAGGATTAAAAAAGGGCTGATTTTGGCTGGGTGCAGTGGCTCACGCTTGTAATCCCAGCACTTTGGGAGACCGAGGCAGGTGGATCACCTGAGGTCAGGAGTCTGAGACCACCCTGGCCAACATGGTGAAACTCCGTCTCTACTAAAAATACAAAAAATACCCAGGTGTGGTGGCGTGTACCTGTAATACCAGCTACTCAGGAGGCTGAGGCAGGAGAATCACTTGAACCTGGGAGGCAGAGGTTGCAGTGAGCTGAGATCACGCCGCTGCACTCCAGCCTGGGGGATAGAGCGAGACTGTGCCTCCAAAAAAACAAAAAGAAGATGGAACATAGTTCAAAGTGGGAGAAACGCCACCTCTTGATCTCCGGGTGGATTAGGATTCTGACACTCATCACCCACTCTTCTCTGCCCAGCCACCTCCTGGTGTGGGAAACTCCATCATTTCGGCCCTGGACCAGGGCAGAAAAACCACACCTGAGTTTGCCCAGGAAGTTGGCTTTTTCCCTGGAGTGTGAAACCGGGAAACAGATTTGATGAACTCAAGCTTGGAGAGGTGGCACACTTAGTCACCCTCTATACGCAGAGCCCAGAGAAGGCAGAAGCTTCTGGGAATCTGTCCTGGGATGCCTGTCTTTGGGTGGAGTCAAGTGTCCAGGAGCTGGAGAGGAGCCCTGGGTCCTCTGAGGGGAGTGGGCCTTAGCACCCTTGTTTGAGCAAAGCCTGAAAACACGTGCAGATTCTCGCCACACCTGGGCACCCACACACATAGCTCTGCCACCTCCAGCTGCTCACACCCGGCACATTCCTTCCTGCCTGGCCTTCCCACTAGCAATCCCACCTCCACCCCTCTCTCAGTCTCTCCCCTTGGCACCAAAACCCAAATATCTTTCACCCTTGCACCCACTGTAGCCACCCACTGGCTCTTGTTCTGGTCTTAGCCTCCTCCAAACCGGCTCCTAGATCCATCTGCTGCCCCAAGCCTGCCCACCACCACCTGCCCTTCCTTCTAATGCCCTTTTCATGCCCAAGGTCAGACTCTCAGCTGTTTCCCCTCCAACCTGAGCCAAAATGTCAACGCTTGGAGCTTCAGGTTGGGGCTTAGGAGGGCCCATGCGGGGAGGGCAGGAAGGATGAGCGCCTGGCCCCAACCCAGGTTCTGTCTCACAGGCTCCTGCTGCCCCGGGTCTTCGGCCCCTCCCTGTGGCTGCCTCGACCGGCTTTTCAGGAGACACTGCGTCCTGTTCCAGCTCATGGCAATCAGCCCCCTGCCCTTGCCCAAGGGCTGGGAGGCAGGCGGTCTGGGTTCTGTGACAGGAATGGGATCCCGCCTCCAAAATCCGCAACACTCCCCAAGAGACCCTATGCTGTCCTGGCGACCCAGGCGCCCTTCCCTCCAGCACCCTGTGAAACCCAGACTTGGGCTTGGAGTCTCTTCCTTTGGCTTCCTTGAATCTATCCATTTGTCCAGTCAATAAATATTTACCGAACCCCAGGCAGTGTTCAAGAAGCTATGAATACAGCAGTGACCAACATGACCAATTTACATTCCTAGTAGGTGAGACAAGCAATAAAAAATAAAGATAATTTCAGATTTTTTTTTTTTTTTTTTTTTTTTTTGAAAAAAAAAGGGGGAAACTAAAAGATAAAATTAATTTTTTTTTTTGGGGGGGGGGGGTTTTTTTTTTTTTTTTTTTTTTTTTTTTTTTTTTTTGAGACGGAGTCTGGCTCTGCCGCCCAGGCTGGAGTGCAGTGGCCGGATCTCAGCTCACTGCAAGCTCCGCCTCCCGGGTTCCCGCCATTCTCCTGCCTCAGCCTCCCGAGTAGCTGGGACTACAGGCGCCGCCACCTCGCCCGGCTAGTTTTTTGTATTTTTTAGTAGAGACGGGGTTTCACCGTGTTAGCCAGGATGGTCTCGATCTCCTGACCTCGTGATCCGCCCGTCTCGGCCTCCCAAAGTGCTGGGATTACAGGCTTGAGCCACCGCGCCCGGCCGAGGTTTTCTTTCAAAGTTGGCATTTAAGTCAAGTACGGATGAGGAGGAGCCAGCCATGTAAAGATCTGGGTTCTGCATTCCAGGCAGAGAGAGGAGCATGTGCAAAGGCCCTGCAGCAAGAATGAGCTTGGTGTGTTTGTGGAACAGGGAGAAGGCCTGTGTGGCTGGAATGGAATGAGTGAAGGGCAGGGGCCGGCCCACAAGAATGAGGTCTGATGACTCCCTCAAACCCCCTAGGGTTCTTCCCTCTCCAGACGGTGCCTCCCATCATTGTAGCCCCTCACTGCTGGGGGAGCTGGAGGCTTAGATGCCTGAGAGGAGTGAGGTGTTGAGGAATCCCCTGCATCCCAGGGACAGAGAGTGGTGGAAGGTGGGTTTGAGAGAGAGGACTCCTGGACAGTGGGTGAGGAATGAAAAGAGGAGGTGGTTGGAAGGGCAGACACCCATCTCTGGGGTGGAGGGCAAGAAGCAAAGATGCCAGAGTTCTTCTCCATCCATGACTCACCCTCTCTTCCTCCTCCTCTCCATTGCTCAACTCCAAATCTCCCTGGGAAACACCTCCTTGACTGAGGACCAAGTCAGTGCCTCACAGGGGTAATTGAGTCATGAGGGGTGGAGAAGAGGGCTAGAGGGAGAGAGAATAAATAGCAGTGTGGCTTCCCAGGCTCCTCTCTGCATCCTCCCCGACCTTCCCAGCAATATGCATCTTGCACATCTGGTCAGTTCCTGCTCCCTCCTTCTGCTACTGGGGGCCCTGCCTGGATGGGCGGCCAGCGATGACCCCATTGAGAAGGTCATTGAAGGGATCAACCGAGGGCTGAGCAATGCAGAGAGAGAGGTGGGCAAGGCCCTGGATGGCATCAACAGTGGAATCACGCACGCTGGAAGGGAAGTGGAGAAGGTTTTCAACGGACTTAGCAACATGGGGAGCCACACCGGCAAGGAGTTGGACAAAGGCGTCCAGGGGCTCAACCACGGAATGGACAAGGTAGCCCATGAGATCAACCATGGTATTGGACAAGCAGGAAAGGAAGCAGAGAAGTTTGGCCATGAGGTCAACAACGCTGCTGGACAGGTTGGGAAGGAGGCAGACAAACTGATCCAGCATGGGGTCCATCACGGGGCCAACCAGGCGGGAAGTGAGGCAGGGAGGTTTGGCCAGGGGGCCCACCATGCTGCGGGGCAGGCTGGAAATGAGGCTGGGAGGTTTGGCCAGGGTATCCACCATGCTGCAGGGCAGGCAGGAAATGAGGCAGGGAGGTTTGGCCAGGGGGCCCACCATGGTCTCAGTGAGGGCTGGAAGGAAACAGAGAAGTTTGGCCAGGGGATCCACCATGCTGCTGGTCAGGTTGGGAAGGAGGCAGAGAAGTTTGGCCAGGGGGCCCACCAATGGCTGCTGTCCAAGGTGGGAAGGAGGCAGAGAAGTTGGCCAGGGGCCCACCATGCTGCTGGTCAGGTTGGAAAGGAGGCAGAGAAGTTTGGCCAGGGGGCCCCAACCATGCTGCTGGTCAGGTTGGGAAGGAGGCAGAGAAGTTTGGCCAGGGGATCCACCATGCTGCTGGTCAGGTTGGGAAGGAGGCAGAGAAGGTTGGCCAGGGGGCCCACCACGCTGTGGGGCAGGCTGGAAATGAGGCAGGGAGGTTTGGCCAGGGTATCCACCATGCTGCAGGGCAGGCGGGAAATGAGGCAGGGAGGTTTGGCCAGGGGGTCCATCATGGACTCAGTGAGGGCTGGAAGGAGACAGAGAAGTTTGGCCAGGGAATCCACCATACTGCTGGTCAGGTTGGGAAGGAGGCAGAGAAGTTAGGCCAGGGGGTCCACCATGCTGCCAGTCAGTTTGGGAAGGAAACAGAGAAGCTCGGCCATGGGATCCACCATGGGGTTAATGAGGCCTGGAAGGAAGCAGAGAAGTTTGGCCAGGGAGTCCACCATGCTGCCTCGCAGGTGGGGAAGGAGGGAGACGGAGCGGTCCAAGGCCTCCATCATGGCATTAGTCAGGCTGGAAGGGAGGCGGGGCAGTTTGGCCACGACATTCACTATGCAGCAGGGCAGGCTGGGAAAGAGGGAGACATAGCAGTCCACGGTGTCCAACCCGGGGTCCATGAGGCCGGGAAGGAGGCTGGGCAATTTGGCCAGGGAGTTCACCACACCCTTGAACAGGCCGGAAAGGAAGCAGACAAAGCGGTCCAAGGGTTCCACACTGGGGTCCACCAGGCTGGGAAGGAAGCAGAGAAACTTGGCCAAGGGGTCAACCATGCTGCTGACCAGGCCGGAAAGGAAGCAGACAAAGCGGTCCAAGGGTTCCACACCGGGGTTCACGAGGCTGGGAAGGAGGCAGAGCAGTTTGGCCAGGGAGTTCACCATACCCTTGAACAGGCCGGAAAAGAAGCAGACAAAGCGGTCCAAGGGTTCCACACTGGGGTCCACCAGGCTGGGAAGGAAGCAGAGAAACTTGGTCAAGGGGTCAACCATGCTGCTGACCAGGCTGGAAAGGAAGTGGAGAAGCTTGGCCAAGGTGCCCACCATGCTGCTGGCCAGGCCGGGAAGGAGCCGCAGAATGCTCATAATGGGGTCAACCAAGCCAGCAAGGAGGCCAACCAGCTGCTGAATGTAGGTGAACAGGGATGGGGAAATGGGGGACATGGGGGTTGGGGGAGGGAAAGGTTAAACCCCTGGGACATTTGGGGGGCTCCATGTAGTCTTCGTTTGGTGAAAGAAGCTTGGGCAGCTGTATCACTGTGCTTCTCCCCTTTCCCCATCCCCCTTACAAAGGAGCTGGTGGTAGCTGGTCAGATAGGGTGAGCCACCTTATCTGCAAAGCATGTATCAGACAGGGTGGTGGGCACTCCTGGTTAAGGGGGCCTCAAGTGGGGACCGTGAAGCCCCTCCTGGGGAATGGGAAACAGTTTCTGAGATCAAGATCTAGTATAGGCACTCACTGCAAAGGCATTGAGTGTTGAGAAAACCTGGTGAGGAGAGTGAGCATGAGGAACAGCTTTTGCAGATGAGCCTTGGCCTGTGCAATCTTCGAAACTACCCTCTGATGTGGTCAAGATGAGGCTGCTGGCGCCCTGATTCTCAGATAAGAAAACAAAGGCTCAGAGAAGTTAGGGGACGTGCCAAGGTCCTGTGGCTAGTGCCCAGCTTTGGCGGAGGGCAGGCCAGTGTTTTCTTCCCCTACACTGCCCAGCCAGGAGAGTTTTTCTGGAAGGTTTCTCTCACCCATTTATGTAGAGGGAACAGAAGCTGGGTTCAATGGCTCATGCCTGTAATCCCAGCACTTTGGGGGTCCGAGACAGGCAGATCGCTTGAGGTCAGGAGTTCAAGAGCAAGCCTGGCCAACATGGTGAAACCCCGTCTCTACTAAAAATACAAAAATTAGCCGGGTGTGGTGGCGGGCGCCTCTAATCCCAGCTACTCAGGAGGCTGAGGCAGGAGAATCCCTTGAACCCGGGAAGCGGAGGTTGCAGTGAGCCAAGATCGTGCCATTGCACCCCAGCCTGGGCAACAGAGTGAGACTCTGTCTCAAAAAATAATAATAATAAAATATGTAGAGGGAACAGAGACTGGAGGCAGGCAAATAGCACCACTCACAACAGAACAGACACCAAGAAGGGAGCGTGGGGAGCAGGAGAGGGTGGACTCCTGTGCGCCCTCACTTTCCAGGCTCCATGAGGGGTCCTGGGATCTGCAAGATGTGACTGGCTCCGAACTCAAAGCCCAGAGCCGCATCTGCCACCAGACAGAGCCAGGGTGGGGAGGAACGGTGCAGTAGAGGAGTGGGCGCGGCAGGCTGCAGGGTGCCGCGAGCAGAGGTGCACTGTGGGAGTTGGGGCTCGCAACAGCAACCAGGGTTGGGGGCGCTGCTGGGGTGCATGGCTGAGTGTCTGGGGCTGGGTTAAGGACGAGGATCAGTGGAGTTAGGGATGCAGCTAGACAGGGCATAGAAGGGTAGATGTGAGGTCAGGGCTGAGGTGAAACTAGGTCCTGCTAATGGCATGGGTCCTCAACCTTCCCTTTCCACCAGCCCCTCCTCCGTGACCGAGGGCACTTCGTTAAGGAAATTAAAAGGGGCTTTGGGGAGGAAAAGGTAGCAGGAGGCAGAATGCCCACGGGAGCACGGGCTTTGGGTTTTCTTCTGGATAGTGAGGAGGCAGTGGGTTAAGCTGTGCCTCCCACCCCAGCCCCAGTCACCCTGGAGGGGACCAGGTCACTGGGGAAAGGGAACTGGGAGACCCCCAGGATTAAGGGTTTGTAACAAGAGTCTGGGCTTTGTCCACAGGGCAACCATCAAAGCGGATCTTCCGGCCATCAAGGAGGGGCCACAACCACGCCGTTAGCCTCTGGGGTAAGTGCGGACTCCGGGGTAGGGGAGAGAAGGCCCCTGGGAGTTCCCTAGCGTGGCTGTGGGTCGGACGCTGGAAACTGACCTTCTTGTCCTTGGATTGCAGGCCTCGGTCAACACGCCTTTCATCAACCTTCCCGCTCTGTGGAGGGTGAGTGCCACACGGTGTCTCCTTTCTGCTCTGCGTCCTGATAGACACTCTCACCCTGATCCCTTCCCAGTGTCTGTTGGACCCTCCAACCTGATACCCAGTCCTGGGCTTCCCTCTCTCTATCCGCTCCCTCCCCTTTGCACCCTGCCCTCATCTTTTGGGTGCTTTTCATTTCCACCAAGGCAAACACAAGCTGGCAGAGAAGACCTCCAGGGCCCTGGTGCCCCTGGGAGCCAGGGAGGGGGGAGGGGCTGCTGACTGTTCTCATTCCCTCTCTCTCCCTGTCCTCGTTCCTGACTGACTTCCCTCCTGTCCCCCCACCCTGCTGCAAATGCCTTTGCTTCATGCTGAGAGGAGGAGCCTGTGGCTTTGTCCTCTCCCTGGTGCAAGGTCACCCCAGTGTAGAGGCTCCTGTGGAATCCTTGTTCCCACTTGGGGCTCAAAGTAACCTCCTGACTCTCTTTCTTTATTTTAATTTATTGAGACAGAGTCTCACTCTATCTCCCAGGCTGGAGTGCAGTGGCGCAATCTCAGCTCGCTGCAACCGTCACCTCCTGGGTTCAAGTGATTCTCCTATCTCAGCCTCCTGAGTAGCTGGGATTACAGGTGTGCGCCAACATGCCCAGCTAATTTTTGTATTTTTAGTAGAGACGGGGATTTCACCATATCGGCCAGGCTGGTCTCGAACTCCTGATCTCAAGTGATCCCCCCTTCCTCGGCCTCCCAAAGTGCTGGGATTACAGGCATAAGCCGCTGTGCCCAGGTTTTTTTTGCATTTATTATATCTGCTGCCTGAGACCGGGTGCAGGCCAGGGTGAGGGTGTGTCACGGAGGAGGAAGGCCCACCCTTGTGTATCCTGGGCTATGGGGGCTGCAGAGCATCCTCTGATGCTAAACACACGAGGCTTACTTGTTCCTGCAGAGGCCCCAGCCCCTCTGGCTGCGGGAGCTGGCTTCCTCATGTTCTTAAGTTTAGATGCTGTCTTCCTGAAGCTGTTCCTCAGAACCTAACTCCGGGGCCAGAGCAGCCAGTGCCCCTTGCGCTTCTCCTGAGGGGTGGGGCTGAGGTCTCAGGCCCTGGTCATGACTGTAGACCCAGAATTCACCCTGCTCTCCTTCTCTCTTCCAGAGCGTCGCCAACATCATGCCCTAAACGGGCACCTGCCCTTGCTGGGAGACTAATGTTGCCATTGTCACATCAGCTGACATGACCTGGAGGGGCTGGGGGTGGGGGACAGGTTTCTGGAGTCCCTGAAGGGGATTGTACTGGGATTTGTGAATAAACTCGATACACTATGCTGTCTCATCGTGGTCCCCTGGGCTCCCTAAGGAGGGATGGACCGGGAGGCGGGAGGGGCTTGTCTTTTCTTGTTACTTTGCTGAAGGAGTCGGGGTGTCTGATGCACAGGGGGGTTGGGCTGGAGATTTCAGGTTGATCAGCCGTAAAAGGGCAGGTAATGGGGGCAAACTACACTTTACTGGGGCGCAAAGTTCGTGCTGGCTAATGGCAGGAGGACTCGTGCAGGGAAAAGCACTGCCGGCCACTGGTGGGGACAGACACACCGGGAGAGAATGGTCTGGGTCCAGGAGGTAGCATCCTCAGTCAAGGGGGTGGGGCGCCAAAAGAATAACAACAATAACTTGTATTTATTGTGCAGTTAAGACATGCCAGGCTGCCTGCCAGGCGCGTTACCTGCATGACATCATTGACTCCTCCCAACCACCCAGTTAGGTGAAAGGGACTGTTATTGCCCCATTTTATAGAGAAGCACGTGGGGGCTTGCACACATTAAGAAACATGACCAAGTTTACACAGTCAGTGAGTGGAGGGAGAGAGACAGTGAAGAGCTACAAAGGATATTCTGGAAAAACAGAGGTCTTTGCCCTTTGGCAGCAGCAGAGAGGGGCAATCGGTGAACAGGAAAAGTGAGACACGGGATGGGGGCGGGGATCCTCTCAGGGGAAGGAAGGGGAAGGATGGAAGGCTCAGGTGGAAGACATGTTGGTGACAGGAGCCACCTGAGTGGGGGCACAGAAGGCCCCATTTTCAGATCTGTGCACCATTCAAAGCCCAGAGGAACAACGATTACAATTACTGAGTATAGAGCACTTGCTAGACTCAAGGTACCGGGTACAGAGTTGTTCATATTCTCTCTCTTTTTTTTTTTTTTTTTTTGAGACAGAGTCTTGCTCTTTCGTCCAGGCTGGAGTGCAGAGATGCGATCATGGCTCACTGCAGCCTCGACCTCCTGGGCTCAAGCAATCCTCCCACCTCAGCCTCCTGAGTAGCTGGAACTACTACAGGCACGTGCCACCATATTCAGCTAATTAAATTTTTTTTTTTTTTTTTTGGAGAGGGGGTCTCACTAGTCTCACTATATTGCCCAGGCTGTTCTCAAACCTGGGCTCAAGGGAGTCTCCCGCCTCAGCTTCTTGAGTAGCTGGAACTATAGGCACGCACTACCACACTTGGCTAATTAAAAATTATTTTTTTGGCCGGGTGCAGTGGCTCACGCCTGTAATCCCAGTACTTTGGGAGGCCAAGGCTGGCGGATCACGAGGTCAAGAGTTCAAGACTAGCCTGACCAACATGGTGAAATCCTGTCTCTACTAAAAATACAAAAAAAAAAATTAGCTGGGTGTGGTGGTGGGTGCCTGTAATCCCAGCTACTCAGGAGGCTGAGGCAGGAAGAATCAACTTGAACCTGGAAAATGGAGGTGAGTGAGCTGAGATTGTGCCCTCGCACTCCAGCCTGACGACAAGGCGAGGCCCGTCGCAAAACAACAACAACAACAACAAAAAACAGGGCCTCACTATATTGCCCAGGCTGTTCTCAACTCTGGGCTCAGGGGATTCTCCCGCCTTGGCCTCCCGAAGTGGGGATTACAGGCAAGGCCACTTCGTCTGGCCCGTTCATGTTCTTTTTTTTTTTTTTTTTTTGAGACGGAGTCTCGCTCTGCCGCCAGGCTGGAGTGCAGTGGCCGGATCTCAGCTCACTGCAAGCTCCGCCTCCCGGGTTCACGCCATTCTCCTGCCTCAGCCTCTCGAGTAGCTGGGACAACAGGCGCCGCCACCGCGCCCGGCTAGTTTTTTGTATTTTTAGTAGAGACGGGGTTTCACTGTGGTTAGCCAGGATGGTCTCGATCTCCTGACCTTGTGATCCGCCCGTCTCGGCCTCCCAAAGTGCTGGGATTACAGGCTTGAGCCACCGTGCCCGGCCCGTTCATGTTCTTTAAGTCTCCCACAACCCAAAGGCAGAAGCCCTCTTCTCGTCAACACTGTATGGATGAGGACGCTGCAGCTCAGTGGGACAAGGGCACCCACAGAGAAAACAGCAGGCCTAGGTCTGGCTCCGTCTATCGCCAGCACCTGACTTCTCATGGTTCCCTGTGAAGTCTCTGTAACACTCCCAGGCACTAGCCTGGGCGCTGGGAGACTTGCGTTACAACCAGGAGCAAGATGCCTGAAGGCAGCGTATTTCCCGGAGGCAGGGATTCCACAACTGTTGCTTCCAGCTCCAAAATTCCGTCAGTGGGGGACTGGAACTAAGAGACACTGTTCTTGCCCTTGGGGAATTCACAGCTTTCCTCGGAGGCAAGGCCTATAAACAGAATGTGAATGCAAACACACAAAGCCACGCATCAATAAGAGCTCAATGACTGGCAAGGGGAGGGGCCTACATTTGTGCAAAAAACGTGAGGTTCCTCACTTTATAGTCACTGCGTTTTCCCTTATTCTGTGGAATACCATAATTTCATTACATATGCTCCTTCCCTCCCCCTGTGATATTTTATTTTGAAAACATTTCAAACATCATGAAAAGATGAGTTTTATAGTGAACACCAACATTCTCACCACTTAGATTTTACCATACTTGCTTGATCACGCATCTGTCCATTTAGCCCCATAGCAAACATTTTTGATGCATTTCAAAGTAAACTGTAAACATTATGTTTGCTGCATTTTGTCTTCTTTATTTTTTGAGACAGAGTCTTGGTCTGTTGTTCAGGCTGGAGCGCAGTGGCAGGGTCACGGCTAACTGCAGCCTCAATCTCCTGGGCTCAAGGAATCCTCCCACTTCAGCCTCTCAAGTAGCTGGGACTACAAGCACACATCACCATGCCTGGCTAATTTAAAAATTTTTTTTTGTAGAGATGGGGTTCTCATTATGTTGCCCAGGCTGGTCCTGAACTCCTGAGCTCAAGCAATCCTTCCGCCTCAGCCTCCCAAAGTGCTGGGAATATAGGTGTGAGCCACAGCACCCAGCTGCTTGCTGCACTGATGTAAATAGAACCTTCCATTCATGTCACATACTGAGTGAGGGTCTGCTCTGTGCTGGACTTCGTTTCACAGGTATTGGGGGAGGCTCTACTTAAAGGAATCCTACAGTGGCGGCTTTTGAAAAGGCAAAATTCAAGGGACTCTTTCTTTTGTGAAATAAAAGCTTTCATTGACTATTTATTTTTATTTAAAAAATATACACATACATATATGCTATATATATATATATATTTTTTTTTTTTTTTTTTTTTTTGAGACAGGGTCTCACTCTGTCATCCAGGCTGGATTGCAGTGGGTGATATCAGCTCACTGCAACCTCTGCCTCCCGGGCTCAAGCAATTCTCCTGCCTCAGCCTCCCTTACAGGTGCGCACCACCACACCCAGCTAAATTTTTGTATTTTCAGTAGAGATGGGGTTTCACCATGTTGGCCAGGCTGGTCTTGAACTCCTGACTTCAGGTGATCCGCCCGCCTCGGCCTCCCAAAGTGTTGGGATTACAGGTGTGAACCACCGTGCCTGGCCATCGCCCGGCTGATTGACTATTTTTCAGGCACATTTTCTTGCTGGGTTTGCTTGGATGGGGGTCCTGAAAATACCAAAGAGATACAAGATAATTGATAGACACTGAGTCAGTCCTGGGAGGCCTCTGAAAAAGCAGAGCTTTGAGTCTGTTTTGAGGGTAAAAGAGGCTGGGCTCTCTCCTGTCTGAAGGTCTTGCATGCTGCTCCCTCTGCTAGCAACACTTTGCATGCCCCTCGGCCCCCCATACTGGCTCTTCCCGACCCTATGCATCTCAGCTACCTTGACCGCTCAACCTGAGCTACGGCCACCCTGTCACTCTCTCTCATAGCCCTGATCTTGTTTTTCCTGTTGGTTACGACAATCTGTAATCATATTACAAATATCCTATCCATTTTCCCCCAGACGAAGAGGTTCAAGCAGTGATGTCAAGGCCAGGCGTCAATGTCTGCCAAAAGCAGAAGGGAAGCCACTGGCTTGAGCAGGTTGGGAAGGGCCATGGAATGAATGTGAGCAAGACACAGGCTGCTTTGCCTGAGACGGGTGGAGCCAGGCTAGGGAGAAACACGGAGAGGAAGGGCCGGTTTCTGAAGATGTTGAAGAACAGGGAGAGGAGTTTGGGTGTGGCTCTCACCGGGCATCTTTTATAGGGTCTGTGCTAAGCACTTACAGGCATGATTCATTTCCCCACAACCACCTAGGAGGCAAGTACCATGATCATCGCCCTCACAGATGTTGAAGAAGAGGTGCATGGAAGGGAGCGTGTTGCCTGAGGCCACCCAGATAGTAAGTGGTGAAGGCCAGGCTCCTGTTCAAGGGCACTTCCCTGCCGGACATCTCTAGCAGTGAGGTGGCCTGCTGCCCTTGCAACTCCCAGGAAGGGGGAGGGGGCTACATCCAAATGAATGTTGTCTTGTTTGTTTGTTTTTTTGACAGAATCTTGTTCTGTTGCCCAGGCTAGAGTGCAGCGGCACGATCTTGGCTCACTGCAACCTCCAAATCCCAGGTTCAGGAGATTCTCCTGCCTCAGCCTCCCAAGTAGCTGGGATTACAGGTGCACACCACGCCTGGCTAATTTTTGTATTTTTAGTAGCGATGGGGTTTCACCATGTTGGCCAGGCTGGTCTTGAACTCCTGACCTTAGGTAATCAGCCTGCCTTGGCCTCCCAAAGTGCTGGGATTACAGGTGTGAGCCACCCCATTCTGGCTCCAAATGAGTGTTCTTTAAAAGTAAGTTTCTGTATCTGGCATTTTTTTTTTAAATTGAGGCAGGGTCTCGCCCTGTCATCCAGGCTGGAGTGCAGTGGTGTAATCATGGCTCACTGCAACCTCTGCCTCCAGGGTTCAAGCGATCCACGTGCCTCAGCTTCCCAAGTGGCTGGGACTACAGGCACATGTCACTACACCCTGGTAATTTTTGTATTTTTTGTAGAGACAGGGTCTCACCATGTTGCCCAGCGTGGTTGGGAACTCTTGGGCTCAAGCAATCTTCCC